AGCAACTCTTTTCAAAACTTCAGAACAGCCCGACTGAGCAAGGAAACGCGAAATGTGATACCGATCGCCGCCTGGCGACTGTCATCGGAACTGTCAAAGATTCTGACGCAGAGGAGATTGTGCGTCGTGCCCGGGCGCTGTACGCAGACCTTTTGGTTTCCGGCCGGGCGCGGGCACCTAATAAACAACCCCGAGTGGACAAATGCGCCAGGAAGCAACCCCGCCCGTCTGAGAAGCAATGGGTTCGAGATCGCAGAAGCGCAGTGCTGTCGGCAGCCAATGACCTCCGCAGCAACCCAAGTGCAAACGCACACTGGTCAGCAGCAGCATCAGTGAACATGCCAGAGCCATTGCAGAAAGAACTTGCCAAGCAAGAGTCTCAGGCTGTTAAACGAAAGGCCGAGGCCTACCTTGATGGTTTGTTGCTGCCAACCGAAGCAGACGGCAAGGTTCTCTCGGCAGCAGCTGCCAAATTGAAAACGGATGCAGCCAACGATGCGGCGCGGAGAAAGAAGTTTCAGGAGGTGACCACGGCCACTAAATTGAAGACACAGAAACAGTCCATTGCTTGGGCAATGAAATCCCTGCAGTCTCCAGTCTATTTTGCCGGCGCCAGTCCTACAGAGGTTGCCAAATGGACCAAGAAGCTGGCTGACCGTGGAATCACCAACGTGACGCAGGACATTTGAATCTTGATTCATCTAACTTTTAACTTTAACTGCTAAATACTATTTAATATTAATTATTATTATTCCCTGCAGGACTTGAAGCAGGCACAGATGATTGTAATCAAGGACATCGATCACTTTGCTCAGAAGTACCGCGCTTTCTCTGCCCTGATGGGGGCAGTTGTATTGAGTGGTCCAATCCCGGATGGGCAGGGCGGGCTGAAACTCAGCCACAAACCTGGCTTCAAATTCGGTGTCTCAGTGTACGCGACCAACAATTTTAAGAAAGAGCAACCGGGTTTGACATTGTTGGTTCGCGAGGCATGTGCGCGTGGAAGCGCCCAGGATGACAGTGGTTGGCAGGCGGTTTCATTGGAAGACGCTGCCAAGAACAAAAGAGGCAAAAGAACCGCGCCAATCATCCTTCACGGCAAGGATGAAACAGTCCAAGTGCAAGGCGCAAGTAAGAAGTGCAGGCTGATGACAGGGGGGCGCTTTTACGACATGGGTGGCCAAACTGTACATTGACCATCAAGCCAGCGCCTGGATCAAAGGATCCAATCCGTAGGCAACGGGGTGTCTGAACCCGGCTCCTGGGAGAGACGGAACTGGGCTTAAAAATAATGTTTGCCTAAACTGTGTAATGCGACAACTTGAAGACCTTGTTTTTTCAGATTCGCTGTGCCAGGACTGCAGCCATGCCGCGGCTCAAAGTCTTGAAATCCTTTGCGAAGCCCAAGGCTAGAAGCGTTTCTGCACAAGACAGAGGCAAATTGATTGCCAGCATCAACGCCCTCACCACTAATTGGAGGCAGCGCTTGAAACCATGGCCAAAGCCTTCGTCGCTACAACCAATCAGGTTGATATCTGACTGCGCCGGATATGGCTCCGACCTGATTGCTTTGCGGCTGCTAGGATTACGCGCCAGGGTTCAATGCGTCATGATGTCTGAGTGCAACCCTGCAAAGGTGCATCTGCACCAAGCAGTTGAAGAAGTATGTGGCTTCGATGCAGCCCAGCTCGAACATGTCTCTGACATGTCTTTGCGAGATAACTCGACAGCACCGTCTGTGGAACTTTATGTGGCCGGATACCCCTGCCCATCATTTTCCAGGCTGGGAAAACAGAAGGGCACCCAAGACAGCAGAGGGATGATCACCATCCATGGACTTGCATTCATAGCCAAAACTCGCCCGCTCATGGTGGTCTTAGAGCAAGTCTCTTCCCTTTTGCATCGCAAGCACAAGAGGATGTGGGAGTTCATACAGAAAACCTTGAGGCTTTTGGACTACAAGTATGTCTACAAAACCTTGAACACAAGGCAATTTGGAGTGCCGCAGTCACGCCCACGGGTGTATGTGTTGGCGGTTGCCGCAGAATGCTGTTTGCAGGAACAGTTGCAGATGCCTGTGGAGAGAAAGCAGCACCCTGATTTGCACACCTTCTTAGACAAGGAGAAGTCGGGAACCGAAATCCTTTCCTTGCCCCACTATGAGAGGCAAGCCGGCCCGAATTTGTGGAAGAAGGGCTACGTGGTGGACATCAAGTCTTCAGATGCTTTCCAACATCTGATGAAGAACTGCTGCCCCTGCCTCACCTTCACTCGTTGCCGAGAGTTTGGCTATTACATTCCTAAGCTCAGACGACGCTTGAACACTTTCGAGTGCGCCCGCTTACAGGGCTTGCCAGATGCTGTTACGCAAGCGATGCTTGCATGTTGTCGGGAGGAATCCTTACCTGCAGGTACGGTGGAAGCGTCCATTGGAGACGCCATGAGCATCAACGTTTTGATGCTTGTTCTTCGCGCCGGATTGGACGCGACAGGGTTGAGTGCCCTGGGACTGGATCAGATGCCCTGCCGACAGCTGTAGAAATTTGAGCAACAATTCATTTTCCAATAGCTTCAGGAAAGCTCGGCAGCTTTAAAATAGAAGATTTAAAGTCATTGTCATGTGTGTCATGTGCATTTGATTTAACTTTGATTCAACAAGCTGCTGAGCTCACTTTGCCGGGGTCCGGGTAAGGGGAGTGGAATGCCCACGTTTGACAACGTGGACCGGGTAAGGACAGTAGGAATTTCCCACTCCCCTTCTGCAGCGCCAGCCTAGGCTGGACCCGCAGAAGGATAGTAGGCGCCGCTGTAAGCATACTGTCCTTCTCACGTCGCCGCCCCTCTTAGAGCACGACCCACTCCCCTTCTGCAGTGCCAGACTAGGCTGGACCCGCAGAAGGGGAGTGGGAAAGTCCCACTCCCCTTCTGCACTCAGTACTACGGGGACCAAATCCCAGACCGGGCTGGCATCGCATAAGCCCGGCGACGTTTTGCGGTTGCGACGTTTTGTGGTTGCAAAGGGTGTGTCTTAAACATGACATAACATCTTTTTAACTTATTAAAGTAAAAAGATGTTATGCCAAGTTTCAAGTGTTCATGTCAGACATTGCTATGTAACAACAAGTTTTTTAACTCTGATGTTCATTGTCTGTCACGCGTGCAGTGTTCGGGCTCCAGCGGCGAGGGTGAATGCGGGCGCCCTGGTGGTGGCGCGCTTTCTCGGTGCCTTGGCTTTCAATTTAATCTAACTTAATGCTGTGCTAGTCTTACTACACATTCATCTACTAACTGTCTGGACTACTACTACTTACTTGTTACCGAGTTCGGGTTCAGCACCTGTGGGTGCAGGCTTGCGGGCCTTGGGAACCTTCGGGTTCAGCGCCTGCGGGCGCAGGCTTGCGGGCCTAAATGGGAACCTTCGGGTTCAGCACCTGCGGGTGCAGGCCCACGGGCCTTAAGTTCTGTCAGTCGTGACATTCAGGATTGAATTTACCGTCGTCTTAATAGACCTAGAGGACCCATTGATATAGAAAATCTAGCTACGAAAAATTCACCATACGAAGTCTGGGAATCCATGACGTTTTGGGAGAATTTAGTCGAGGATCAAAAATTAAGTCGATTTGGTCTTGGTTCCTAGCCATTCACCTGCTCATGTGCACATCGAGATCGTCATCATTTTCACTTCTGCCAGGGCCTGAGTGTCCTGACGGTTCACAGTAGGTAGGACTTGTGGAACTCACCGGCCCATTGCCGGCGGTACAGCCCAAGACAGCGTCTTAGGGTGTTCCATGCAGCACTTAAGGGATGAGTTCTTCTCGATACCCTTGAAATTCTTCCGATGAAATCTTCGTCTGCCCATGTTAGGGCGACGGCTGGGCTCTCTATAACGGGACATTGCTCGTTATGCAACAGCAGCATATGCTCGATGTCAAGCCTTGGTTCACACCAGTCAAGTGAGAAAGGAAAACTATATTGGCTTGAACCTCGCCCCAAGGATGACTAGGATGCAAAAGAGTATGGCCCAAAACGCAACAAGGGGCACAATGTGGCAAAACATATGCAGCTTTGGGCGTATATGGCATCCAACCATGCCATATCTGCAGCTCAACTTTGCCAGCGTAGCGTAGCCGTCCTGGGTTTCTAATTAGGATGATCGAAGGACAGCTCGCTGAATACCATGATCGCTAGCTGAACAAATACTAACGGACACATGCCCTAGCCCATATTATACACGCGAACACGCGAAGCGATTGGGCCCAGCCACCACAAAGGCCCAGCCATCATCGACCAAACCTTTGGCTTGCTCACGTGAGAGCCAGATCCCATTGCTGTAGATGCAGCGCCAAAAACGGTTTATTGCTGCACAGCTCCACTGGAGGACCTCTAGAATATCCCGGCAGTCGTTTGCCTTAGCTAGCTGTAACCTCATAGCCCAAAAGCACCATGATGCTACTGGTGATTCCTAGTCCAAACTACATATACGGTCAAAACCTTTTCCATATGCACACCAATGGTTCCACCAAAGTCAAATCCAGTTGGCCCAGCTCTTCCCCCCAGCCAAGCCCCCACGATCGCTGCATCGTGCCCCTTTCCAAGCCCACAAGGTTTCCCGCGTAGCCTCCGCAAACACGCGCAAACACGCGGGCGATCGTGAACCAGAAATGTTGGATATAAATGAGAGCCAGGGGAAAAAAAGAGAACATGCATGTGCAATTTAGGAACGATCCGGTCTTCAACTTCAGGGTCTTGTAGGAGAATTCATGGATCGATGTGCTTTTACCATTTGCCGCGCAGAAGATCATGTACCGTTTGTAAGCAGTCTCGAACTTGGACTCTGTACTGCCAGAACCAAAATAATCCATATGCAGCAGGAGGAGGATGGCTGTGGCGAGATAGTTTTTGCCTATCCCATCTATGGCGTATGTGTGTGCCCCGTCTATGCGCACATACTTTGGATTCCCCTGAAAATACATGAGATCTCGCAACGGGGACCTCAGGTCTTTGAAAGGCCGTGGGTTGACATCTGCAGGCTGCAGGCGTCTCACAGCACCTTTCACATCCCACCATTCCTAAGCACGTTGCTCTAAAACCTCAAAAAGACAAGGTTTGTTTTTGACCCCCTATGTGCCCCTAAACAACCAGTCACATGCAAACTACGTAGCTGAGTGTCACGAAGCGCGCATCTGTGGCACTTGTCCCGGCAGTTATATCCATTGGCCAGATTCATGCTGGCGCGAAGAAACGGCCAATCACCTTTCAAGCTGACCACTATGAACCTGTACGTGCGAACTCTTCCCTTCCACAGGACCTCAGTGTTGCACGAAGTGGGAACACAAGACTTTTTGTTAACATGCACCTTGGTTGTTTGGTCGACCCAAGTAGCATGCCTATGAGAGCCATGGTAAAAAGATTCTGGCACTACACTTGTAGGTAGAAAACCAAGATGAGCAGCAGAAGAGGCTGAACTGACATAACCATTACAGGTTGCTTCAGGCGACCTCGACCCTCGTCTCCATGCAAGCATACTGGTATTGCGTGGTCCCATAGCTCGTTGGGCACAACAAAGTCTGGATGTGTGGTGGAAAACTTCTCCCAAAAATCCAACAATGTTCTTGAGAAATCATCAGCTTCGCTCAGGTCCTTCCCCTGTAAGAAGAAGTGGCCACCCTTGGAAAAAATGGTCTCTGCACAGCTAGAGAGGTGCAGCACTGGATGGTTCAACTGGAACCCTTTGAGGTCTTCTCCGTGAAAGCCGTAGGGCAGTTGGAACAGTGGATATAGTGACATCGAGGGCCTTCCCAAACTTCTTGATGGTTCGATGCAAGTTCCGACAGATGTGCGGGTCCAGCTTGGACTTTCCACACTGCGCCATCTTTGATAGCAATGGATCCGCCAGGCCTGCAAAAACATAGCTGACATAGCTTTCCCGCCATGGTGGCAAACGTAAAATCAACACGTCACATATGCATGATACACACACACTGCCCAATGATATGCCAAGGCGCCATGCTTCTTCAGTCGGTTGTTTGCTACAGCTGCCAAGCGCACCACCCGAGAAGCTGATTCAGCCTAGGCCCCCCGACCCCCACACCTTCAATTACACCACAATTTGAACAGGTTTGCATAAGGACATCTTCAAGTTCAGCCAATGGGCTCCATCTTCGAAGCCTGTCAAGAGCTCGTCCGCCAGGTCCGCATCCTCTGCGCTGAACCCTGACGAGCACATGGCAAGGAGAGCGGGCTTTTGGGGGGATACTCGGACAGCGAACGCCTCCATCAGCAAAGCGGGAACTGAACAGATCATTGTAGGATTGACCTGCGAGGGCGATGTACGCATCATGGAGAAGCTGCACCTTTTGATTGTGCTGATTGACTTGGTTCACCATAGATTGTTTCAGACTTTTCCCATCCTCTTCAACGACCTCGTGCATATGATATCCACGAGCAACGATAAATTGGTGTTGCTTCAGCACAGCCCGCAATCAAGCTATCGTAAAGAGTGTGTTGAGTATGAACCAACAGCGCTGGCTGTGTGACAACACGTCCCCAAACATCAACGTGTGAAATCACACGCACCCAAACAAAAGGGCCAACCGCAAATTAGGCTGGACTTAGTTTTCAGTATCAGCTTTGCCACCCTTAGTGGTCTTTGCAGGTTTGGCCGCCTTAGACTTAGTCTTAGGCTTCTTTACAGTCTTAGGCGCTTCACGCTTCTTGGTAGAAGCTTTGGTTTTCCCATCTCCTTTGGTCTTGCCATCTCCCTTGGAAGCTTTGATGGTCCTGCGCAGGAAGCCATGGAAGAGATCTGGCTGCCAGGGAATGTTTGCAGCAAACTTTATTGTCAGGGTCCTAGCGCGCACCACCAAGTTGTTCAGAGCCACATCGGCCCGCGTGCAGGAGGCACATAATTGCAACATCTCTTTCTGCTGCTCGGGCCTACCCGGCATAGCCAAGACGAACAACAGTTGTTAACAAATCAACCAGTAAGTCTTGCGGGAGCTAGCCCCATGCCTTGTCGCTCGTGCCACAGCAACTTCTGCTTGCATGGCTTCAAGCTTGCTGTAGAGGGTTCTCATGGTGTTGACATGAACCGCGATCTGGCTCGCGTGCCTATGCACTCACAGCATATTAGTGAGATTGTCTTGAAATGAATTTGTCAAGTCATGCTAGCAGTAGCTCAGGCGGGGGCTCTTTGGCCTGCAGAGTGCCAACCTTGTCCAGTTTGTCCTGATGGAGGCCGGCTTGAGAAAACAAGAGGTTGGAGTCGAAGATTTCACTTGAAGTATCAAGAAATATTATACTGATAACATATACTTTTTGTATAATATATGCCCTTTTTGATCACCAAAAGTGTTCAGAAATTATTCAAAAAGGGCATTTCCAAAGATTGCCTTTCAGAGTCTGCTAGATCATGTTGCAAGGTGTATGAGAATGTCACATGAGAACCCGGTCCAAAACAGCCGTAGTGGAGTCGATTTTCCTTCCACAAACTGCCAAGAATTGTGGTAGGATCGCAATCGCTGAGCTGTTCTCTTGCACCGAAGGGAATACCAACCTAAAACATCGATCAAGATTAAGAGATGGCAACACCCTGGTAGCTTCAAACTTCTTTGAGCTATGAAGCTTGAAAGAACCAGAGCCTGCCAGCGCACCTGCTGCAGTATCGCCGCCAAGATCTTCCCCGTGCTGGAGGAGCTGCTCATTGCTGAGCTTGATGTCGGGGAGGCTTGATTCATCCAAGACAGAACCACTGGGGTCCTGAGGTCTGGTATTTTTAGATTAGCGCAAACGACCTCGAACCAAAGCAAATGCATAGCCTTGGGCCAAGTATACACGCATGCTGCCAAAACTCTTCCACGTCCATGCGAACCTGCTGAGTACGAGCTACACCCTCCTCTTCCTTCATGGTAAATGACTCATCCAAGACGAGTCGAGCCTCTTCTTCACCATGCATACTATTCAGCCGGACTAGGTTCCGTGCTGCAGCCCAGACGAAAGCACTATCGGCCATTTTCCTGATCGATCGCGCATTAACATACATATAGGGTGGCACGGTTCAAACTTTACTTACAAGAAACTAGTCTGAGTTTGAGTCTTTGTAAAGTGTGCCGCGGTCATCAAGTATCGTGACCCACTTACCCTCCTTCTTAGTCTCCTTTGACATGGTGGAAAACTTCTGGACCTGCAGTTCCACCACAGGGAACTGCATCCCGTTGTTCTCAAGCAACTCCCGAATCTTGCCACCTGGAAACACGGGAATGCCACAGGTTAAGTGTATTAACGGATGTTCCAAATATTTCCAAATGCTATCAGCCCTCAATGCCAATTAGACACGGCCATCGCGGGTTTGGAAAAGCCGTGCGATCTCAGCCGAAGCTTTCGTTGATTTGCAGTAACGTCGCATCCTTCCACAAAGCTGGAGTTGTATGGGGGTCAATATTGCATAATTGCATGAAACAACAACCTCACAAACGCAGTGTGGCAAACCGGTAGCATTGAACAGCCAAGAATCCGAAAGTGCGTTGCATCCCTCACTTCATGGTCAGGAATCTTGGAAGGAACACCCGTGGCGCTGGAAGAGGGAAGGGGGTCCTTGGGAGGGTCTGGCTTCTTCACAGGTTCCTTGGGAGGCACGGCGGCAGGGGCAGCCACAGCGGGAATGGGTGATGTGATGGGAGATGCATGTGCGGGCATGGTCTCTGAGCAGTGTGACTCCTTCGCAGTAGGAGCTGGTGACACAGCCCTGGGAGATGCATACGGCCATTCCTTTGGCTGAGCGTCGTTCATGTCTGACACTTGACCACTTGAATCAACATAATTCAAGGTTGGTTGATGCGCCATGCTGTTGGCCTCACGTGCCTTTGGCGTGTCATCAATAACAAAGGCCCCGTCGCTGTGAGAAATGACCGGAGCACCTGGTCACAATCGCGCTAGGCGTGGGGTCTGATCACCTGTACAAAAGGCAAGTGACAAACGCGGGCCTTCGACAATAGAATCCTCCCGTGACAAGGCATCCACCGGTGGCTTGTTCAGGGTATCCTGTAGTATTTGGATCTTTTCCTGTTGCGCCTTGGCCATTCAATATCAGCATATATATACGAACCAAAGTGCCAAACAGCAACCTAAACAGCAGTTGCCATATGTTCAAGACAGCACACTCGAATCATTGCATCAAGATCCACATCCATAAGTTGTTGGTCACCCATGGCGTTGATGCTCATCAGGTCCGTACCCGCTTTAAGAGTCTCACAAGACCACCCACTACCAGACATTCCTGCCTTGAATGCTTCAACTGCAAAGCCCTCCAAAGAAACACACGTAAAATCGGAAAAAGAGTCGACCGGCACGGCTCCGAAACATGGGTTTGATATGGATTTTGAAAATTGCGCCGAATTGCGGAAAATTGCGCGCGAATTGCGGAAAATTGCGGTACGATTGCGCTAGCAATTTTTTCCCAACTAGCCGGCCAAATCTAATCCGATTGCTCCGAATTCCGAATTTCTCCGATTTTTCTCGGATCCCTCCGGTTCTAGTTGGCAGAAAAGTGCATCGCTTCTAGTCGGCAGAAGAAGCGGAAGTCTCTTCCTGCATACTTGCAGCCTCAGTTTCATATATATGCGCATATGTGACTCGATCGATGATCATGCATGAGTGCGTTTGCATAATCTCGACGTGTACAATAACTCTGACTAGTAGCCACCCAGTCATTGGTGAATTGATCGATGGCACCTTTCCATTCTTGTGGAATCCTTCAGGGCTTAACTGTCAAGCTACCATCGTGTATGTGGGGTTTACTTTTATAGAGGGAGAAAAAACGGAAGACTGTCCTGCAATACTTGCAGCCCATCAAGTAGTCAAAAACGGGCTTCAATTTCGCTTCAGGCCATGTGTCCCCCAGTGGCATGTCTGCGAACAATTGGACTTCACTTTTCATGGGGTCTGGTTGTACATGGTGCCGCAAGTCACCGTGAGGACCGCCCTGCAGCTGCTCCGAGTACAAGTCTCTGATGCACGCGCCAAGACCACGTGGATAGGCCCTGGGCGGGATGGAGATTGGAACGCGCACTCTGATCACGACTGTTGGTTTTGCAGTGCTTCTTTTCATAAGCTAGCCATGATTAGCCATGAACATGTTTTCACTATCCAGGCTAGGAACTGAGATGCTTTCAGTTCAGCTGCCCGGCCAGTGAATCGTTGCTGTCCGGTTTTGTCGACATACTTGCCTCACACACGTACACATGCACATAGCACAGCTAGCTTGTTTGGCTAGACAGCACATGCAAACCCGCAAACAAATACATATAGACAAGCTACGGGTTGTTGAAACCTTTGTCCGTTTGGACCGTTCTGCATGTGTGAGTTTACCTTTGTCCAGCATTCCCATGGTCCTGAGATTTCCCATGAACATAGACCTCTTGGGGCTCTTTGCCCCATGAAGCTGCATCCAAAAGAAGACCTGGAATACCTGTCAGCGCAGAGGGGTCTATCCATTTAAGCTATATATAATATAAAGATCGAAAGAGTGGAATGTACGACTCATTTATATAGGAACAGGCAAGGTACCCAGGCAACTCTGTTTACCAGGTATTGCCAACGTTTATGCATATATAGTAGCGACTGGGCTGGCTGCTCCACGAGAAAGTAACTAGAGCGGCTCAAAATGAGCATGATGCACAGGACCATCCTGAGCACGCAAGAAGGTATATATTATATATCGATGTCCGGCAACAGCGCAGGAATTTCGACCCCCTACAAACTCATGCGAACTAGATTCCGACTCACCATGCAATTTGCATTGGCAACAAACTGATACGATTCAAACCCTTCTGGGTTGATGAAACTTCGCATGGAAGTTCCTCGACATGGTAGGCCCCAGGACGAGCAATCAGGCGCAAAGAGCGTTAATGCACCTGCCATTTGGTTGAGCACGGTGAACAGCGTAAGCCTCAGAGCGGTATAGGGCGAGTGCCCGCAAAGACTGGCTTCTGGCACCAAACAATTAATCAAGTAGCAAGAACCCAGCCGGTGAAAGAAAATCCATTGTGCGGCTGCTGTAGCTATAGTCGATGGAAGAGACCCTGTGTCCACTTTCGTGCCTCAATAGCTAAAACCCACGTGGAAAGGCTAGCAAAATGACACAGCTAGTGATTGTTATGTGAAAGCTCCACAATAGGCCTCAGACATCACTTGCGACACCGCACCCTTCCCACTAAACACTTCCGTGAATGTATAGTTTCTGGAAGGATCATCAAAGCTCAGGCTTTGGTTCCACGAAAGCAACAGCACCTCATCAACAATCCCCAAATGTGACAAAAGTCTCATGGCAGGCGTCACAGCTGACTTCTCAGCTTGGATTGAGGCCCACACCAATGCGATAAAGACCTTGCATAGATTCCAAAGCTGTTTGGAGTTAAGCTGAATTCGATATTGAAGGATACTCGATTTGCGAATGCAAAAGCCTAGGCCCAGACTTTTGGCGCACGTACTTGTAAGAGCGATCGAACAATCGGGCGATCAATCATGGCAACTGATCAACCCTACCCAAATGAAACTCTTCGATCAAGATTGGGCCCAACTGCAAGACTGCAACAACCCAAAAGCTGATCTCAAGAAAGTGCACAAATATGTATGCATCCATGAAAGGCTGTAGCCACAAGTCACTAAGCAGGGAGGAGGGAAACGCACCTCTGATGCTGGAGCGGACCCGCCAAGCCTTCATAGACCATGCCACGCCTGGCCGAAGAGCTGGTTTTCACACATATCGTAAGTTTGCGGCAGCGTTATGAAGCACCTTTTGATCGATGTCCGGCGCACGCGAGCCACACTTCTTAAGGCCCTTGACCGTCTAAGCTAGACAAGATCAATCAGAGATTCCCAAGGCACGTGGTCCGAGTATAAATTATACTCATCACGTGACAAAGCCCCAAAAGAGCCACTATGTGCTCTCCAATGGCTCGAACAAAACAGCTCAGCTGCTTCAGCTGCTCAAGCCTCAAGATGTAGCTCTCACTTGGTTTCAGCGTATGCCTAGGCACAAACCGGCAAATGATGTTTGTAGAAGCTGGGTTCTTGATGGTTAGAGAAGCCTGGAGTGATACCAGAAGGGACCCTGCAGATACGCAAAACAATACGTAAATGAAGCGGGTCAAATGAAAGCAGAGGTGCATTCCTACCAGCTGCAGCGCATTCCTCTTCGCTCAGCCCCTTGTCTTGCGCAGCTTTGAATGCCCTCCTGTAAGCTTTGGACTTCCTGGCGTTCCTTTGTTTTGCCTCCTGCTTTTTGGCGGTTGCCTCAGCAGTTTGCTCCGGCATGCTTGGCTTGATGTCAGCAACAGCCGGTTCGGCCGCTGTTGGTTCTGCAGAGCCACTGGTTTTGGCTTGCTTGGCATCAGGTTCATCGGCTGCGCTTGCGCTTGATTTGTTTGCTTTGCTTTTGTTTGTCTTTGCCTTTGCCTTTGGCTTTCCCTTCGCCTCCTTTGCCTTCGCCTCCTTTGCCTTCGCCTCCTTTGCC